ATATATATATATATATTTCTTTTATCGGAACTAACAGAAAAACAGACGCATTTAGTCCCTCTTAAAATTTTAAAATTAAAGATAAAATAATAAATAAAAAAGAGATACTGAAATTATCGAAATAGATAATCGTAAGTTATTATTCTAAGAGAATATGAAGTTATTATTTTTTAATATCTGAAAAATGTAATAATTTATTAAAAAATGAAGATTAATTATATATTTTGATATTCTTATTTTTTTATAAAAAATTTTAAAAATATAATAATTCACTAAAAAGTAGAGATTAAAAATAATTAGATTCTAATATCTCTTTTATAATATATAAATTATAATAATAGCACAAGATTCTAACTTATATTATCTTTGATCTTTTATATTGAAAAGATTATATGTTTATTTTTTTAAAATATTCACAAATACATGCTACCCAAATTTTCCCGAACGTAATAATACGTAGTTGAAGTAAATCTAAATTGAGAACAGTACATCAAAATAAAAACTTGTTTTTCCCTTTAAAATAAAAAGAAAAACAAAATGATTCCACCGAATTCGAAAACAATCATATATTACTGCTGTTAATTAGTGGCGCATTGTCGGTACTTCCGCAAGTTGCATCCCTGCTGCCTGTGGGGCATGGCCATGCCACTTGTAGGGTAATTATTTCTTCGTCTTCTGCCGTTTTCTGCCAGTTGTTTCCTTCGCAACTTTTTTCACTGCTTCTAAGGGTCCTCCTACTCTGTTATTCTATGGTATTATCAAACTTACGTGCCTCTTTGAGTCCTTTTATAGCAATACACGTTTTAATATAAAATTTATAACTAAGATTAATTTATTTTTAAATTAACAAACAAAACTTTTAAACTAATATTATATTATATTCTTATGAACCTGTCAAGACGTAGGAATCATTCAACTTCGTTTGCACTACCCTTTACTCGTCAACGCGGTCTCTACTTTAGAAACCCTTTTAAATTTGAAGATTCTTTTTGTTGATAATTTATGATCTGTTTCTTACTACGGTGCTGCATGTCCTTGAAGGAACTCAGAGATGAGCTGACTAGAGCGCTAATAGAAGCAAGTGATGGTAATGTTAATGAAGGAGTAGGGTCATTCAATGAACTTGTGAAAGAGATGACCTCAAAGCAAGACCTTAAGGCTTTTGCTTTCAAGACCAAAGCTATGGTATATAAACAATAATTCTGCGTTTACTTTTGCTACTTACCCTTTATGATGATGATCTTGATGTTTCGTTTTCCTAGAGATTCCTTTTCTGTTTCCTTCTGATGTTGATTAACAATCAGGCGCCACCATATATATATAGTAAATGGTTGTCCCTACATACCTATTGCTCGAGTCAGTGTGTACATTTAGGAGTGAAAATTAGGAGAAGCCAATGCAAGAAACTAATAAATATACCTGGTTGGACACTTGGGAGAAAAACATAAACGAAAAAATAAAATAATTTTTTCAACAGCTAAAATTAGCTTACACATAAGTTATTTGTCAAAATTTTCTCATTAGTTTTTTTAAAAGCTAATTTTTAATTTAAAGAGAAGCTAATTTTAGCTTATGAAAAAAATTATTTTATTTTTACTTTTTTTAAAATGTTTATGATTTTTTTTTACCTAAATAAGCCTCATAGTTGTGCACCAAAACATAGGCACTTGCCAAATCAAACTAAATATAACAAAAAAGGAAATTTAATTGATACAACTTGCACAACTGAAGTTTGTGTGGCATTTACTCAAATGCTCTAAAAATGGTCCAGATAAATGCAGGCTACAATGCTAAAAATCATCTTCAACTATAGGTTAACTTCGGAGACCCACATGGTTCAGAACACAATAACTCATCTTCAACTTATCAACCGTGCATATTAACTCTTTACCGGGGCTTTTCTGCACATGGGCAGGGAGTTAATTTTACACTACATCGAACAATGTGGAAAGTTTAGGAAGTTGAGTTGTTGTCTTTTTGAGTTTTGAATCGCAGGAAGCTTTCTGAAAATTACCTATAGTTTGAGGGGTTCCTTGCAAGCCTAAGGTTATCATGGCATATACATTCCTTCGATTTGATGAATTATAAAATAAGCATCAAGAGGAATGTGGGTGAACGAAACATCATAATCAAAATATATCTGTATGTGGGTTGCTTCATTGAATTGTTTGCCAATGAAGCATAAGTTTGTTGTCAGCTACAAATATTCAATTGAACGAACACAGTTGGTGAAGTTTTAATCCTCTCACAAAATATGCTATATCTTCTGTTCATATTCAGCTATCACAGTTGGAACACAAGGTGCAATTAGCAAGACAGCAGGAGTCAGTTTATTGGCATTTAGCTTCACATGGTGTTCCCAAAAGTCTACATTGTCTTTGTCTAAAGTTGGCTGAAGAATACGCCGTAAATGCTGTGGCCAGATCTCGTCTACCCCCTCCTGAATTTGTGTCTCGCCTTGTTGACCCTACATTTCACCACCTAGTTCTCCTTACTGACAATGTCCTTGCTGCCTCTGTTGTTGTAACATCTACAGTTCAAAGTTCAATAAACCCTGAAAAATTAGTGTTTCATATTGTCACTGACAAAAAAACTTATGCTCCGATGCATGCTTGGTTTGCCACGAATACTGTTAAATCAGCAGTTGTAGAAGTTAGGGGCTTACACCAATATGACTGGTCTGAAGAAGTGAATGCTGGTGTTAAAGAGATGCTGGAAACTAATCACTTAATTTGGAAGCAATACTATAATAAGGAAAAGGACCGCTACTATACTCAAGAGCATAGCAGATATTTGGAGGCTTTAAGGCCCAGCAGCCTATCTTTGATGAATCAACTCCGCATTTATATGCCTGAGGTAATTAGTTATTTTTGGTAGCCCTCTGATTGAGTAATAACTGATAAAAAGTCTAAATGCTTGGCGATGATTGTTTCATCATCTGATTTTTGTGGACCACAACAGCTGTTTCCAGACCTCAAAAAGATAGTATTCTTGGATGATGATGTTGTTGTACAACATGACATATCTTCTTTGTGGGAACTAGATCTTAATGGCAAAGTCATTGGTTCCGTATTCAAGTCATGGTGTGGAGGCAGCTGCTGCCCTGGAAGTAAATTCATGAACTACTTGAACTTTTCACATCCTCTCGTGTCATCAAACTTTGATGGTGATCAATGTGCATGGCTCTATGGCATGAATATAATTGATCTTGAAGCTTGGAGGAAAACGAACATAACAAAGACCTACCATCAATGGTTGAAACATGTAAGTGTGCGTTGACATAGACTCTTGATATTGAAGAACACGAGTGATTTGAAATGTTCATATGATGTTTAATTATTTTATACTATGTTAAGCAATAGTCTACTGATCTTAAGCACATCATTACACTCTGCATACATGCCATCACTTAGAACTGCTTTATGCTTTTGAAGATATACAAGATAGTTCTGGACTTGTATACTGTGTCGCATGCAACAAAAAAAAATGCATGGTATATTTAGTCATTTATATAGTATTACCTCTAATCTTAATTGTAAGTAACAAATTGAATTTTTTTAATCTTAATTATAAGCAATAATGAACAATTTTTAAAGTTACTTAGGTAAATTTCTTTTATATCCTTAATTTATTAACTTTAGTTCTTAAGCACTCACTTATTCTCTATTCATTGGATTATGAGTTCTAGCATTAAATATAACAATCACTTAAAAAAAAGGTGTCTTTGAAATAAAATTTGAATTTAGAAATAATTAAAATAACTCATTTAATTATTTTTTTTCGATTTTGATGATTTGTCTTATATTACTTTTAATTAGAACGGAGACACTATTATTTTTTGTTTTTTTTTTCATCATACCATTAAAGTCTATAATTATCTGATTTCACAGAACCTCAATTCTGGGATGACCATGTGGAATCTGGGAGTTCTTCCACCTGCCTTGATTGCATTTGAGGGTCAAGTTCATCCCATAAATTCATCGATGCTTGTGACTGATTTAGGCTATCGCTATCAAGCAGAAGAAATTAGCAAAGAGAAATTGGAAGCTGCTGCTGTTATTCATTTCAGTGGCCCTGCAAAGCCATGGCTTGAAATTGGTTTCCCAGAGGTTCGAAGTTTATGGAGTAGATACGTAAATATCTCAAATAAGTTTATTAGGAGATGTAGAATTACAGGGTGAAGGAACAAAGTTTTTTCACCTCCAACAATATTTATTGATATTGAACCAGTGATACCGTATGGGATTTCAGAGGGAAGAAGGTTCTGCCTTCAGTCTCTGCCTCATACACTCTGCAGTCTGCAGGCATGATATCAGTTACACTGCGCTATGTGCATATAAAATAGTAAATAGATGAAGCTGCGCGCAATACCGTACTAGAAGCACTATCTGTGGTTAAGAAAGACATAAGCATCACTGATCTAGCTGCCTGACAAAATTGTAAATTTCTTTATCAAAATTACATTTTGAAGTGGATAAATTGTTTTGCATGATCTGAAATTTTAGCTAGACGGTTCTCAAGTTTCGTTACCAAAAACTCAGATAAATCACCATGCTGCTTGAGAGTTCATCTCTTTTGTCATGTAAATGCTATTCTAGGTGCCACTCAAATTAGTTTGTGCATTGCTTTACATCACTTGTTATTCTCTTATGTTGTGTACATGGAGCTCCTCGTTACACCAAAGACAAAATGAAACACGTTTAACATCTGTTCAGACTCGATGTGACTAATGTAAAAAAATCGAAGGCAGGGTCCAACTTAACTCATCGTTTTTCAAAAAGATACACTGTCCTTCCTTGTTTTGGTGGGGTTGGCTCATTAAAGATAATTTATGTTGGCTCTTTAATTGTCTTATGTAGTATTCTGCCATTTGATGTGGTCCATGACATCTATCCATGTGCAGTTTTGATCACAATGATGAAATGGCTTGTGGAATATTGTGCAGCAGAAAGTGTCGAGTATTATTACATTGCTTAAAGGCCCCGACACCATTTGTTGATTTGTGCACCCCTTGTAATTATGTCTTACATAGGATTTTCCGGATGCTGTATAATACCATCCTTCTTGTCACTAGACATAAATACAGTATGACATCATTTGTTCAAGGTTTATTAATTACCAGTACCTTTCTTTCTTATGATACAACTTTGTCATAATAGTGGAATACTATAGCTTTAGATTGAGATCGTGTAACCCTCTGAAGTGGAATAAATAATCTTCGTTTTACATAGCATCTTACTATCATTTCTCTCTTTGCAATTGATGGCTGCAATTTGGCCACGGCTCCAACCTAGACAAAGAAAATGCTCTTGTAACAATATTTTCCATATTCGGTCACTGTTGCAAGAAGTGGAGAAGGCACATTTATTTGAGACCTATCCGTTTGGGACCATTCTTTTGCAATTTTTTCAAACTTCATTATTTGGACCATGTGGAGTTATCTGCTCAAGGCTTTCAACATAGAATGAAATAAGATTTGAATTTCAAGCACCGAACCTGTGTTTTGGAACTAGCATCGTGACTTCTCTGACTCTGTTATATTGATTGCTTATTGACAGTGGTTAAATGAAATTAATGATGAAAGAAAAGAATCCCCACACTGGCACCACCCACGCACTAGCCACATGTGCTCCTCTGTTTCTCTTGCCTCTTCCAAACGTTGGGATAACATTCTATGCATGCCATTGCTAGTTGTTTTCTCTAAATTTGATGCTTCTCTTACATCATGCAGAGCTAAAAACTTATCACAGTTGTGGCTTGTGGGGTCCCTGGTTCGTGTTTATTAGGAGGAAACTTAGCTGTAAATATTATTGTTTTACTTGAATAACTCAAATATAAAGGTTGGGACTAGTTATTAAAATAAAAATTTATAATTAAAAATAATAATAAACAAGATATTGAATCAATCTAAGTTTTGCTGTCTTTGTTAGCTCCAATAACTCTCCCATGTGAAACCACAAATGTTTACTCATAGAAACCACGAGATACAGGTGCAGGTATTAAATCAATTTTAATAAGTTAGGTCTTATATATGAGTTCAATTTTGTTGGCTTTAAACGTATTAAGTTTTTCTGTAAAAAAAAAAAAAAAACGAATTAATTTTAATTTTATTTTTTATTTTTACTTTTGAATGTATTAAGTTAACAATTCAATTATTTGTCCATTTATTTTACCTTTGGGATATATGTTGGAATGGACATTTTGGATAGAAAATGATTAGGTATGCGGTTATTATTTGTCCTATAGTTGTAAGGTCTCTAATCCTTCTATGAGGTGTCCGAAGTTAGAATATGTGACTTATTTACGATGAGGTGGATTGAATAATTTTTTATTTTTTATTTTTATTTTTTTACTTTTGAATCTTTTAAAAACGTTTATTTGTAAACACATCCTTCAATTAACTAATTTATTGATTATACGATGAAAAACAATATCAAATATACAAGAATCCTAAATAGTATAAGCAGAGAAAAAATAATAACAAGATTTATTCGGTTTCATTCTCAATCTTAGAAAGCTACATTTGGATCTCAGCAACCCATTGAGATTCCTTAAATAGAATCAATCTAATTCTTACAATCAAGTTTCAAAAATCTGACCAAGATCATTTCTAAATCCTATAAGAAAATCTTCTAATCTTGCCCAACTAAAATTCCTATTCGATTTGGATAATAACCTTTAGAGAAGCCATTGTCCTAAAGATTGAAACACACCATAGTAGTCAATCCCGGATAGCGGAGCGGTCAACTCTAAAACTGGAATAGCGGGATGACGCGGAGCGGGATAACCGCTATTTTAATATTAATTTATATATATTAAATAATTAATAATATATATATATAAAAGCTAAAAAAATAAAAAATAAATCTAAATTCATGCATTAAACATTTTTAATAATTAAAAGTTCATAGTACTCAAACAATACATAATATAAAATGTTTAGGGCTAATAGCTGGAGTTTATGATTCAAATTTACTGAGGCCCAATTAGTTACTACTTTATCTAATCTCTGAAGTTTGATAATTGCTCTTGTCTCCGAATTTATTTATACTCTCATTTTATCTTACAAATGTTTACTGACTGCTTCAAACTTCATTTTCTTGTTATAGCTGTGGAGCTATGACACATGATTCTAAGTCATGCATGGAAATTAAAAATAAAATCAGCTGAATTAAATTTAATCAAAAATTAAAAATAAAATTTGCTGAATTAAATTTAATCAGAAATTAAAAATAAAATTTTCTGAATTAAATTTAATCAGAAATTAAAAATAAAATTAGCTGAATTAAATTTAATCAAAAATTAAAAATAAAATTTGCTGAATTAAATTTAATCAGAAATTAAAAATAAAATTTGTTGAATTAAATTTAATCAAAAATTAAAAATAAAATTAGCTGAAATAATTTAATAAAAAATTTAAAATAAAATTATGTTGCAATGTTGCATAAAAGAGAGAAGACTCAAAGGAGAACAAAAGACAAACTAAGCAGACGGAGGTGTGTCGGAGCTGGAGGCACGTCAGACCTGGAGGCGCGTCGAACCTGGAGGCGCGTCGGAGTTGGAGGTGCGTCGGAGCTGGAGGCGCGTCGGAGCTGGTGCGTCGGAGCTGGAGTTCGAAATAGAGGACTGCGCGCACGATCGCGGAGAAGAAAGAAACAAAATCCGAGAGAGAGAGAGGAGAGGAGTGCGAGAACTGAAACCGCGAGAGGGAGAAGGGAGCATTAGGGCAAAAAAAGCCCATTTGAAAAGATGGCGGACTTATCCTTAATGAAGGGTATGTCGAAATCGTGCCGCGTTTCCGCGATTTTTGCCGCTCCGCTACGCCACCGACGCCACCGACGCGGCCGCTCCGGCCGCGACACAAATCCGCCACGCGACAGCAACGAGGTTGCGGGGTCAGGCCGCTCCGCTCCAGAGCGCCGCGATAGCGGCCACTCCGCCTGCTATTGACTACTATGAAACACACTACCTCAATCCAAGGGTGCAAGGGAAGATATTATTTGAAAGTGTAAACTTTCCACAAAATAAGCTTTTCTACCTTTTCTTTTTTAAAAAACCATAAAAATGTTTAAAGGTAGATGATAGCCATGGTAAATCCACAAATTTTAAGTTGTGATAGCTATAATCCTACATAAATTGGTAACATCATATATATATATATATATATATATATATATATATATATATATATATATATATATATATATATATATATTTGTTTGATTGGTAACATTTTTACGATTTTTTTATATCTATTGCTACAGTTAAAATTACAATTAATTTCATCTTCACATAATATCATGCTTCTTTTTAAAATATGGTCGAGCAAAATGATATATAAAAATACTGTGTTTACAGAAAAAATATTTTAACTTTTAACTAATCTAGCTAATAAAAAAATTATGTTGAAAAAATTAGAAAAAACAATTATAATAACATTCTGATATCATTTAAGAAATAATTTAATCAAAATATTAACGATATTTAGAGATCACAATGAAAACGTCAACCACTTTCTAATAAAACACCAAGCACTACAATACTTTCTAATAAAAACACCAAGCACTAACAATGTAGAATATGTTTAAGTTTTGAGTCAAGTGCAAAGCCTTTCCTTCTTAAATTCTCCTTTAGGTCCAAGCCTCCAAAACAAATCAAAGAGAAATAAAACCAAAGTTTTAGAAGATTTTAAGTGAAAAAAATGTTCTGTAGAAAAGAAAGGCACTAGAAGAAAAGGAAGTTGAATAATGTTAGTAAAAAACTCCACTTTTTCGAAATAGTAAAGTAGTATCTTAACTTAAGAGTGCAGACAAATAGATGAGTAAAAAAAAATATTTTTATATCGGTTCGTCTCAACCATCAAGACTATGTCTAATTCTTGATCAATCCAATCAAGTTTCACTATCTTTTACAAAGATACAACTATTATTTTACAAGTCACTTCTGTCTCAACCTAAGTATTCTTTGACTTCTCTCTTCAAGCAACTACTCAAGTATTTTTTAACACAAAGTCTTCCTAGACTTCAAACAACCAAGTATTCTTCTAACACAAAGCTTCTCCAGGCTTTAAACAATCAAATATTCTTTTAGTACAAAGTCTCTCTAAGCTTCAAACAACCAAATATTTTTTTACATGTAAGCCTTACCAAGCTTAAAGCAATAATACTAAGTTAAAGCTGGGTAAGATAATAAAGTGGTTTTTGTCTTACTATTAAGACATGATACAACCAAATAAGTACATAGCTTATTAATAGAAAGAAAGAAATTTTGACAATGTTTGTTCTCTTCTTTTTGAAAATTTAAGCTTCTGTTTCATGAAGATGATCATTGCAAATCCTTTAGCATCTATTACAACCTTACTTCGTCTTCTTCAACTTCATCTCTTATGGAGAGAAGTATTCACCGGTACATTAAATGTTTGCATTAAACATGTTTCACCAAATTGTCAATTCTTGTCTAATTAAGAAAGTTACTTATTATCTTTTCGGTACTAAAAGAGTGGAACCATGCATGTGTCAGGTTGAAGTAGCTTTCTTTTAAGAGTTCTATTTTTCATGGGATCTGCTTGTCCTTTTTTGATGAAAAACATGTCTTTTGTTCCTCTTATTGATTGTAAGTACCAATGAAGCTTTTTCAATTCAGTTCAATTTGTTAAGGAATCATGTGAAGAAAGATTAATTTTATTATCAAACATCATAAATGATATAAATTCAAAGCATATATCTTATAGATGAAGTGTTTCATTTGTGAGACATAATGTCAAAATAACTAATCATCTTAATAGATCATCTTTTAACAATTCTTCTTATTACTTGATCTAAAAACTTTTCTATCAAACAATGTCTATGTTTATCATCATTAAAACTTAAAATCCTAGGAAGTCTAAGATTGTCTTTTGACCAAACAAATACATATTGTAACACCATGTTTTCTTATTTATGTATATTAATGATATATGTAATTAAGAGTGATGATTTATGTTGTTTTATTTTTTTTTGTCCTATGCGGGGGTGGGAGTTAGAGTTAAGATAACTCTGCTTAATTTATAGAAAATATAACTTAAGTGTGTGAGAGTTGGCCTAAGAGGACTAAGGTATATAAGGCAGATTTTGAGAAATGAACTTTATAAGTTCATAACTATAAAATCTTAAAGAGAAATGCTCTAGAGCAAATGAAGTTTGATCTTCAATTCAATTCCATTGAAAGATCTATTTTCTTATCCTGAT